TTGCTGCCACCCACTCTAAGCACCCCCCAGGGACCCCTGCACAGTATCACCTGTCCTGGGCCCTATGTGTCCCCTCTGCTCTCTCCCCTCCTTCTGTGCGCTGCTCCCAGGGACACCCTACCCCTCCCCGTGGGGTCCCTCCCTGTGTCCTGCGTCTCTGCAGCACTCCAGCCCTGTGCCCCTCCTCCTGAGGGACCCCATTGTCACCTCCAGGCTCAGACCCAGCCCTGGGGAGCATCCCTGTGTGCTGCCTGCAGCCTTCCCCTGCACCGCTCTGCCAGCACTTTCCTCCTCCTCCTCCATTACACCTTCCCCAGGGCTCCCTCCGTTACCCTGACCTGCGCCACAGCCCACGCATGTCCCTCGGGGACCTTCACCAGTCTGCCCCGGTCACGCCAAGGGGACATCTCTGCCTGATGCAGTCCCATCTCATGAGCAGCCCAAGGCTGCAGCCTGTTACGGTGCCCTGCCTGTTCGCTCGAGGTCTTACAGCTTTGGGACCGTTCCCTGTGCTCTCCTGTCCCTGTGTCCCTCCCTCCCGCTCAGTGCTCGCTCTATGGGGACATCCCTGGAAGCACTGAGGCTGACACCTCTGTCTTCCCCTGGGGTCCCTCAGCAGCATCATGGAGCTGTCAGGGGTCACCTTCTCCTGCCACAGTCGATGACTGTGATGGTGACATCTCCAAAATGTTCCCTCCCTCTGCTCCCTTGGCTGCTTGTCAGACCCAGCTCTGCCAATGTGCAGTGAAGATGTGGAAAAATACCGGAGCCCTTTATCCTCCATGCCCCCGTGCCCCCCAGCCAGAGCCAGCTCACCACAACCCCTCCCTTCCCCAAACTTGTGTGCCAGGACTCCCGAACGCTCCTTGGGGAGCACAGTCTCCCCATTCTCCCCCAAGTGGAGGCAGCCTCCAAACCCTGTGCCAGGCACAGACTCCACGTAAGGCTGCCGAGACCTGAGCAAACCTCTGGCTCTCAGACTGCCCCTGCTCTGCCCGTCTCCTCCGCACTCCTGAGGGGACATGTCCAGACCCGATCCCGCTCTCCCTTCACGCTCCACACACAACCATCCAGGGGAGCCTCCCCAAAAAGGACAGTGTCCTAATTTCTGTATAGCCTGGGTGCTTCCTTTATGCGCTCTCGTGGGCATGACTCCCTGGGAGAGGAGCTAGCTCTTCCCTTCGGGTGTGTGTCCGGCCGTAGCAAGTCAAGCTTTCTGGCAGATATGGGGGTTTCCTGTTGCATCCCCCAAGAAGAGGTGGCACGGCCTGGGGAAAGCTCTTGGGTAGCTGCCATCTGTCTCTAGGTGGGGAGAGAGCCCCCTGACTTCCCTGCCGTGTGGAGGGCTTTGCTTGCCCCGGCCCTGCTGAAGAGGGGGAGCAGAGTTGGGCTTTTCATCCTGAGGCCAGAGCGCAGCAGTTTCACTCCCCAAACCAGCGTGCGTTCTCCCTTCCATCCGCCCTCCCCCTGACTGCTCTCCGGGCTGTGCTGTGCTGGCCACAGGCTCGGGCAGAGGCTGTGCTCGCTGCCTTCCCCAGCTTTGGGTCTGATAAGGCACTGATAAATTATTATTTTTTTCAAAACAAAAGCTAGAGCTAGATCAGCTTCCCAGGTCCGCTTGCTCTCCTTCCCTGTCTGCTGCGCACGGGCTGTGTGCGTGGAGCCGCCGTGCTTGTTGCTCCAGCCGAGGTAGCCAGCACGTAGCTGTGCTGCCGTGCCATTCTGCACGACCGCAGCTGGGCTATTTACGGGGCTGCACAGATGCTGTGCCAACGCGCCGGGGCTCAGGGCACGGGGGGCGGATTAGTCGGAGACTTTCTGAATCGGGAGCACAACTGTCGGGATACTGGGTGATGTCGGGTCTCAGCTGCAGTGCGGAGCCTGAACCTTCGTCATTTTAATGAGACGCGGAATAATAAATTTAAGGGCAGAGTGCGAAAAGGAAGCTGAAAGCCCAGCGCTGAGCCTGGAGGAGAGGCATGTACTTCAGCAATGTGCCTGATGCCCCGATACGCGCACACCTTTGGGGCTTGTGCACGGCCACGTGCCCCTCTTGTTGTTCCTAACCCGCAGCGGAGATAGAGCTGCTTTAAGTGAACCTGTATATGGTGTTGCTTCCTAGCGTGTCACCCATGGGGTCACCGACTCACTGCTGGTGTCAGCCACGCTCACAGGTTGCCCTGGCATCGCCCACGGGTGTTAACCATCGGTCCGAGCACCCAGGCTTCATGCTGCTGGTTCTCGTCTCTCTGGCGCAGCCTCTTTGCACAGAGGGAGTCGGAGGTTACACGCGACAGTGGGATGCTGGTTCTGCTGTCATTAGATTTTTCCCAGGGATGGTAAGCAAATTAGCAAGCTGTTAATGAGCTCCCAGGATAGGTGGTGGGAGAGCTGCTGGAGGTTCGGAGAGGTTAGTGTGTGCCATCCTGTGTTTGGGCAGGAAGCACACGGGGATGCTCGCTTGGTGACGGAGAACAGGTCTGGCCTGTCATCTGCATCTCTTCAGCTCTTGGCTGCTTGACTTCAGTTTGCGAACATCTCATCTTTAGGAAGCGGCTTGCCAGCTCTTTATGTTTAAAGCTGTTTGTTTTGAAGGCAGGAAGATGATTTAACAACTAAAACACTTTCAGATTATAGAAAGAAAATGAGGAAATATTACTCTTGGCTTAAGCCTCTCCTACTAGCACTCCACCCAACGCGAGGTGCGTGGTGCGAGCAGCTACCGCTGGCTCAGCGGCGTCCTCCCTGCGCTTGCTGACGTCCAGGGGCCAATTTTTAAATTGGAAGCTTCGTTATGTTAAAATCAAACCTCGGCTTGTTGGTGCCAGCAGGTCCTTGCTGGTGTTTGAGCCGATTCCCTGTGGGAAGGGGCTGTCGGCAGCGCTGCCGTGCGAATGTTCTCGCCCTCCCGCCTGCGTGCCCTGGCTCGGTGCTTCGAGCCACGTGTGGGCACAGGGTGCTGCTGTGGTCCCTGACATGGTGCAGTTCCTGGCTGAGAAAAGCCAAACCCTCCTACTCCCTGTGTTGGTCTGCGTGGATGCTGAGGGGAGCAGGAAAGCAAAGCCCCGTTGCGCAGGGGTTTAGCAAATCCAAGGGGGCAGCAGTGGTGTGAGCTGGGGCTGTCCTGGTTGTGCAAAGGTTTCTGCTCCCAGGATGAGTGGACTCTGCTTCCATTTCTGTGCTGTCACACTAGTCGCACCGAAGGGTGGCTCGCACCAGAGAAGCTGCTTTTCCTCGTTGGTGTTTTGGTCTCCAGAGCCAAGCTGTCCTGCTCTCAGTTGGCCTTTGGGCTCACGTGCTGAGCCCCTCTCCGACACTTTGGGTGTTTCATTTGGCCCCTCAAAGTGCACCCCATGTCTCCATCCTGTTCACGGTCCCTCCCATCCCCCCGACCTAACCTTCATCTTCTGCCGAGGGTGGGGAGGTGCAGCCAAATCTTTCTGTTGTGCAGACTTTCATTTCCATAGCAGTAGCCATGGATACAGACTGTTTGTGCAAATAACCAATATTCCCACCCACACCGATTACTGGCCATCGCAGGCACAGGCGTCGGGCAGCCCAGGGCTTGGTGTCCATGGCAGTCGTTGGCTTTACCTGCTGCTGGAAGTTTGCTTTCCCAGATGCTCTCTAGGGCTTTGCTAAAACAAATCCCAACTTTGTCAAATGGGTGGAGTTATTTAACTGCTTTCAAAACACTTGGATTCGTCTCTGTGACTTGTTAACTGTGGCAGAGGTGAGTGGTGTCCTCCAGCTTCTCCCTTATGGTGCTTGAGGGTAAAAAAAAGCCAAAAACTTAGTTCCTAGAGCAAAACGATGCCCTGGTTGTGTGTGCAGGCTCTGCCTGGCACCTGGGTGCTCTGTGCCGGTGATGTGGCATCTGGCAGCAGGATTTGCATCCTGGCATCGGCTAACAGGGCCAGGTCTGCCACCGGCACTCGCCGGAGCGTCTTGGCATCGTGTCACCGAGCATCATATCGCTGTTAGCTGATACAATGCTGTTGCATTTCTGCACGTGTCTAGTTTTATGTTCAAGGGAGCGATTTGCCTTGGCAGGGGGGTTGTGGAGTAGAACCTAGACGCAATGAATTGTACCTGAGATGCTCTGAGCTTGAAGAGCTGAGCGAGATGGCTGGTGAAGGAGGAAGCTGTTAGGGGCATAATATTAAGTAGCAGCACTAACGAGCGAGGCAACAGTTATATTCTTAAGTGTCGCTGAGATTGCACTTAAACGTTTCCTACTTGGGCCTCTAATTTCTTCTCTTTAAAGACTTGTTGGCACTTAAGGAAAGCTGTATGAAGTGGCAGAGCTCCCCTAGCACAAACACAACACTTAAACTCACAAATTTTAGCCTAAGAGGAGCCAGCGTGCTGCGAGGCAGTGACACTGGTGTGACTGCTATTAACAAGGCTGTACTGGCACAGCGTTAAGGGGTGTGATTTACTCCCCATTTGCAGTTACACTAGTGAAGCATAAGGTATAAGCCAGCCTTTGCGTGCTGCGGCACAGCTCAGGTGGGAGAGCTGGCATTCATGCAGAACGGATTTTTTTTTTTTTTTTTCTTCCATGTAGACTTGCTGCTAATTGTGCTTTTAGTGGCTGCTGCTTTGGCTTTCAGAGCCTGGGGAGAATTGTCTGATGGTAGTGTAGGAAAATAACCCTCCTCTTCCAAGTTCCCTGCAAGCACCCGATAAGACGTGCGCTCAGTCTCACTCGCAATGCCTGCACTTTGCTGCCAACGGGTCCCTCAGCGGGCTCCCAGGCACTGGGCTCAGATAAACGTGGCGCTGGTGTGTGACACTCATCAGGATCCTAAAGCACTTGAAGCCACAGCAGTGGCAGCATCACTGCTGGTACCCTGCGGCGTGATGGGTCCCAGTCACGTTCTTAAGGCCTTTACTATCTGCATAAACCAGACCCGTTCTTTGCCCGTGCTGAGTTAGTGTGGACATTCTGTAATGTGTCTGAAAACCCCACTCTTTCTTTTCTCCCTGTTGGTTAGGTGAGAGGATCCTGGGCTACGCGGAGGAGCCTTGCTATCTCTGGTTCGTCATGGAGTTCTGCGAAGGGGGAGACCTCAACCAGTACGTGCTCTCACGAAGACCCGACCCGGCGACAAACAAGAGCTTCATGCTGCAGCTGACCAGCGCCATTGCCTTCCTGCACAAGAACCATATTGTCCACCGGGACCTGAAACCAGACAACATCCTGATAACCGAGAAGTCTGGCACCCCAGTTCTCAAGGTGGCCGACTTCGGGCTGAGTAAAGTCTGCGCGGGCCTGACTGCTCGGGGCAAGGAGGGTGCGCACGAGAACAAAAATGTGAATGTGAACAAGTACTGGCTCTCTTCGGCTTGCGGCTCTGATTTTTACATGGCGCCCGAGGTCTGGGAGGGACACTACACTGCCAAGGCTGACATCTTCGCCCTCGGCATCATCATCTGGGCCATGATTGAGAGGATAACTTTCATCGATGCAGAGACCAAGAAGGAGCTGCTGGGGACCTACATCAAACAGGGGACTGAGATTGTGCCTGTTGGGGAAGCGCTGCTAGAAAACCCAAAGATGGAGCTGCACATCCCTCAGAAACGCAGGACTTCCATGTCTGAGGGGATCAAGCAGCTCTTGAAAGACATGTTGGCTGCTAACCCGCAGGATCGACCTGATGCCTTTGAGCTTGAAACCAGAATGGACCAGGTTACATGTGCTGCTTAAATTCAGGGCAGGGCACTGCTGTGCTTTACCGCTGGGTAAGTGATCTGCAGTTTTTGTATTATTCTGCCTGCTGCACCAGCCTGATAACGCACTTTGTAGTGACACAAAGGAGTCTTTTATGTTCCCAGAGCTATTTCTATAGTGATTCATCAGAACGCTGCTTCGTAATTTTTTTTTTCCCACCTATTCTACTGCAAAAATAAAGTAGAGGTGGGAAACAGAATTAGCAGCTGCACGTCCTGCTGCTGCCCAAAGCCCCAGCAGAGCTGGCAGGGCTGGACAGGAGCCCTGCTCCTCGGAGGTCCTGGCCAGTGGCTGAGACAGGCTGGTGCATGGTGGAGATACCCACAAGCACCCTGTGACATTAGCTTTGGGTCCATCCATCTCTCCCAGGGGCAGGAGCCCTCCCAGGGAAGGAGCTGCCAGTTCTGTCTCCTCTGCTGCATGGTATAATGCGTGTGGTCAGTGCTGAGATCACCTCGCTGACTAGCACAGTCCCCTTCCCCTCTGAGACTCAGACGGGACACCTCGGGGCTCGCTGAGCGGGCACCGAGTGCAGTGGCAGGTCCATCTCAGCGCGGACAAAGCTGTTTCCTTTGTTTTCACCTACAAGGCACGTGAGTCCGTCTCGTTTCGTTTCCTTGCTAAAGGCAGGACTTCCCTTTGGTGTGAACTGCAGTTTCCCAAACCCAGTAGGACGCTTTGGTCTCCAGCGTCTGAGGTTTTAGACCTGTGTCTGCTCAGGAAGGAAGCTTACAAAACAGTTGTGCTCAGACTGAGCTCAGCTCAAGCAGAGTCCCCTCCCTTCTCCCCCCAGTTTGGTTCCTAAATACTCTCAAGCTCAGAGGTCCCAGTTCTATGGCGTGGGTGGTCACACACGGTCTGGAAGAACCCCCAGGGACATTGGGTAGCTTGTGGTGTCATTAACCAGTGACACCGAAGGACTGGGAGGCGTTGCCTGCATGCCAAAGCTGTCTGTAAACAGGAGCTGTTACTAGGGTTTCTCTGGGCCAAACACTTCCATGAAACTAAAAAATTACAGATTACATGGGGTGAGGCTGATGTCTTCCCAGCCCAGGTTCTTTCTCAAGCTTCTGCAGCGCTGCCTGACCGAGGCTGGTCACAGGAGACCTCTGAATGCCTGTCCGTGTCAGGTGCTGGCATGGCAGCCCTTCCCTCACCCCGAACCACGCAGACCCTGCTGGACCAGAGCAGACCACAGATATAAGAGAGCGGAGAGGGATGAACCGGCTGCTCTAATGGGCAAACACCAGGCTGTGAGCGGTGCAGCCGATGGCTGTGCGCCGGATCCTCTCCCCGGAGCCACCCTCCAGCACCGGGGCGGTGGGGAAGGTGGGGGGCAGGTTTTGCTTAAAAAAAACCCCAAAACACAAAACAAACAAAAAAACCCCCAACAAAACAAACAACAAAAAACCCCACAAAAAACCCAAAACACTTAATTGCTGCCCACCTGAGTGTTCCTGAGCTTAAGTAAAGTGATGCGCTGCCTGTCCCCTCTGTGTGTGCGCCCTGGTAAGCTTTGCGCTGTTTGCAGAGAATGCAGAAATGCAGGCAGAATAATAGGCAGAGCAATACAGAAATGGAAAGGCCCATGGGGTAGGTCTAATTCTGTCACTGCTGGTTTGTCCAAACTGGTCCACAAACCGTCCCCTCCGCACCCCGGCACAAAATATTTAACGCCCTTAAGATTTCCAGCGCAAGTAATTGATGCGACTGCTTCCGCCTGGGGCTGGGGCTCAGGCTCGTTACTGGTCCCAGTGCAAGTGTGGGCTGGGGATTAGGGTGGGGGAGTGAATCTGCAGATATTCGAGCCCTTAAGATGGGTGTGATAAAGTCCTGGGGCAAAAGCAAGGGCACCCCACCTCCTGCCCCGGGGTGAGGTGTGGGTCTCCTCTGGCTGTTGGGAGCAGCTCTGCAGCGCGTCGGAGGGTCGGGTCGGGGTGTGCGGCCGCCATCTGCCATCGCTCTGTGCTGACACGATGCTGCTGAGTTATGCAACCCGTGCCCTCCGGGGAAAATTCATCCTGCGCAGATCTGCAGAATAGTACATACAGGGATAACAAACACCGAGGGGACAGTCCTACCCCGGGGCTGTTTGCTTAAAACCCAGCTGCCTTCTGCAAATCCACCCCCCCCACCTCCATCCGTGGATGAAGCCAGCCGGGAGTCTGCACCGATCGGCTCCGTCCGTGACACAGCTGCACCAGAGATGGATGCTCTTGTATAACACAGCTCGGAATACGTAGCGTGGCTGCTTGGCCCAGATAGGAGCTCGGCTCAGGCCATATGTTTGCAGCAAACCCAGAGCATTGCGCTGTGCAGCGGGGGAGCATTCCTCTGGCTTGTTTATGGGGTGGCAGAATATTTGGTGTGCTTTCCCATAGGGTTTTTTCTAATGCGTTGTGTATTTGTGCATTCAAATCAGCCTGCCTCTGGCTGTTAGTAAATGCAAACCTTAAATCGGAAACCCGCTTGAGAAGCTTAAAATGGGATTTAGAGCAGGGCCTGAATCTGAATTCTGCTCTCAGGTAATTTACGTTGACCGAGAAACTCGAGTAACCTCTTCCAACTTAATTGTAGCACTGGCACGTAACTTATAGGACTGCTGGGTCATGCAGTGGGTTCCTCTTCCCCAGGACAGCTTCAGACCCTGCTCAGCCTTCGTTCATGTCATAACCTGGAAGACTGTAACCCCCCTTGACCCAGGCAAGCAGATTTTTGCTTATTCTTTGGTATGCCACTGACCTCTTCTGATTTTGCTTCATGTCCCAGCAGCTCTGCCTTTAGTTCTGCTACGGATGCTGCACGCACCTGCCAGTTGGCAGCCTTCATGCTCTGTTACCCTTCCAAAATGTAGACATTAAATGTCCATTCTCAGCCAGAAAAGTATTTCTGGCTTGGTTTCTGCTGGACACCAGGGTGTCTGGGGTGGAGACAAGCCTGCTTATCTCCACACTCCCCTGCCCAGTGCTGCTGGTGGCCCCGGGGCGGAGGTGGGCAGCATTTCCCTGGGCAAAACGAAGGTCTTCTCTTCTTTGAACGCTATGCTTCGCAGCAGGAGTTATCTAAAGCCGGAGATTGCTGTTCCCAAAAGCATGCCCTTTGGGCAAAGAGGACAAAAGCCTTTCTAGTACAATTCGGGAGTGGCTGGATTGTGCTGGGTACCTGCTGATCTTCTCTTGTTTGCCGTGTGATAACCCAGCGCTGTGATTACACCGCATGCTAAGGGGTATTTCACCCCTCCTTGTCAGGTCTGGAAGGTTGGGGTCGCTCTCCTCCTTTCCTGCAACTTGAACATCTTTTTCTTTGCATGTATTGTAGCTGCCCTCCGAGTTCCCCGCGGCAAGCGAGGGGCCTCCGGTGGACACTGCTGCAGTGGGACCCTCTAACACTGGGGGTTTGTGCGGTGTGGATTGAACACTTAGACAAGTCGTTGAGGAGCGAGGTACAGCGAGAGCAAGTGGCTGTTTGCTGCTCGCTGGAGTAGCACCAGTGGTCCTGGCTGCAGAAACAAGGGGGTTACAAGGGGAGCAAGCAGCAGCATCACCCACCACCTACAGTTTTACATTTAAGAAACTTTGCTGTTTCACACAGAATCCCAGCCTGGTGAGGGCTGGAAGGGTCCTCTGGAGCTCCCCCAGTGCCACCCCCTGCCAGAGCAGGGGCACCTCCAGCAGTGGCACAGGACGGCGTCCAGGCAGGCATTGATAAGATAATTTTAATTCACTTAGGACATCAAACTGCAATGGTTGTGCTCGGTGTAGAAGGCAGCTTGTTCTGGTAGAGCATGTTCTGTGATATTTTCACTGTGTATAAAGCAGTGGGTCTGATTTTGGGGTGGATGCTCGAGGTGAATGGCAGGAGTCTGTGCATGCGGTGTGGTGCAGAACACAGCATCTCGGGGGCTCTGACAGCCAAGGTCAGCCTGGCTCACTCCAGCACTCCTCCTCTGTCACCGGTTTTGATCATTCCAGTTTCAGCTGGAAGTAACTGTTTGCATTTGCATTGTTCTCTTTACGTTTTCAAATTGCAATGGCAGCTGATGCTGAACAAACTCATCTGCTCTCCCTCTGTGATGGTGTCTATCCCCAGCGAGAGCTCGCCAGTGCTGTGCCTTCTCCTGAGCACCGCTAATAAACTGCTGTCCTACGGGATTTCGGAGCTGGAGGTCGGACACACATCAGCGGTGTCTGTGATGGTGAGCTGTCAGCAAGCGGGGCCGTTGCATCGAGTTAGGTCTTGTCTCTTAGTACCACTCAACTCAAATTTTACCCTGCAGTGAAAGTGCCGTGACCCGGCTGGCCAGAAACAGGTGAGCAAGTCAAGGAAAAGGGTAGCGGTTTCACTTCTGAATGTTGGGTTTGACTTCAGACTGGTTTCAGTGTGGTTTCTGTCTCTTGGCATGGTGAAAATGAGCTATGGGATAGTAAAAGTGAGATTGGTTCCTCTTCTTGGCCATAGCAGCGGGTGCGGCATTGCAGGACCGCCCCACGGAGTGGCGACATCTTTCTGGGCCGCGGTGATTCTACCTGGAAGAGAAGCAGGGCCCTGAGGATGAACTGCATCCCGTCACCTCTGGCCAGATGTGTTAGTGTTTTCATTTGCTCAGCATCACCCTCCTGGGGGAGGCCACTGGAGTCGGATTTAAGGGAGCTCCCAAGGAGTGCGTCACAAGTATACGTATCGGGCATGAGGAAGAATTTAGGAGGTAAAGCAGGCTCTCAGCCCCCTTCCCTCGTACCCTGTGTTCCCACGCAGGGGTAGATAATGTGATTAACACGAGAAGGTGCTGGGTTATCTCTCCCGCCCCTGCGCTGAGTCCTCTGCTACCATGCAGACCGCATTGCCACCTCCCATCTCTGTCGTGACCTACGCATTAATGTCATCTTCCTCGGGTGCTGGATGAGGACTCCATGGGCTGCTGGTTCATATCCTGCTGATGCCAAACGAACATTCGAGCTGATTAAAACTATAAGTGG